TAAAAATAGTGATGGGTGGTGGTGGTGGGGGTAACGGCGGCAACGGTGGTAATGGTGATGGTCATGGGGCGGTTCTACTTTTTTTTTTTTTGGGGGGGGGGAGTTATAGGGTTGATAGTGGGATGCCAACGGTGTTGGTAGGGTGATAGCAATGGTAGTGGTGGTGGTGCAATAGTAGGGATAATGGTGGTAGGACAGTGGGGGTGGTGGTGGGGCGAAGGGAGTGATGGTGGCGGCGGTGGTGGGGATAGTTGTGGTGACGGTGGGGGTAGTTGTGGTGACGATGGGGGTGGTGTGGATAGTGGAGGTGGTGGTGGTAATGGAGGCAATGGGGGGTGGTGGTGGTGGGGTAATTTCAAACACTACTTTTTTTTTTTTAAATGTAGATATAAAAAATTATAAGTATTAGAAACACTTTTAAAAAGTTATTTCAAACACACTTTTAAGGGCATATTTTTCCTATTAAATTTTGGGCGTTAATATTAGCCATCAAATTAATTTTAAAATAAAATTTAAAGGGATCTCAATCGTGAAAAGCAAAAGTGATTTTGTTTATCTTTTTGAAATTTGAATTATATTGTACTTTATTATAAAGACATATATAACAACACTTTTGGTCTTTAAATATGCATTTTTTGTAAGTTTAATCCTTATTGTATCAATTTGATCTTTAAAGTATTCAATTCGTGTCACTTTGGTCCCTAATCAGACAATTCGTCAAGTTTTTTGATAGAAGTGATCATATGTCATTTTTTTAGATGGTATCACATGTACAATACGTTATTATTCTGTTAAAAACTTAACGGTCCGTCTATGTAGAAACCAAAATAGCATAAATTAAATACTTTAACAATCAAATTGACTAAATTGATATAAGGAGGATTAAACTGATAAAAAATACACGACATAAGTTCTTTTGATTATTCTGAAGGTATGGAATTGCCTTTTGAGGTGGAATTGGGGTTATGTAGGGATGTGGGAGGGCTGCCTTTGCCTAGGAAAAAACAGGGTGTTGGTTTTTGATGATTAATTTAATTTGGTTGTTATTTGACTGATGCTATGTGCTGGGTTTATTCTGGATTGGTTGGAAAGGGGAGCAGTACAAAAGGATCTTGGACTGAGTTTGTTTTTCGTGAGTATGACTGTCTTCTTTGTTTTGTTTGGCTGGAGCTTGTGTTTTGTTATGAAAAGGTGGTCTGTGCCTTTTATTTTGCTTCTTGTAATGGTTTGCTTTATGAGTAAATAAAGTTTTAATTTTGTTGAAAAAAAAAAATGAACCAACAAAAAAAAATTGATAAAAAATGCACACACACACACACGTATGTATGTGATATGCATGTGAATTAATTATGGGAATATATTTAGATTATGTATTTACTTATTTTTTTACTACAGGGTGTTCAGTCTTGCATAGACTACTCTCTCGAACTCAACGGCGGACCATGTGATCTGAATTGAGTTAGAGCATGTCCCTTAGGAGGTGTTTGATTTGATGGATAAAGGGAGATAAGATAAGTTGGATTGGATAAAATAATCTGAGGACCCACAAACCCCGGCTTTAGATCCAAAAAATGCAATGAGATAAATATTGTGTGCGTGCAAGATCCTGCACAATATAAAAAATGAGAGCAGATCTCTCTCGTGGTGAACTTCGAGTGAGCCGGTTGAGTGACCAAACACGCCGCTTGGGACAGCCTGCAAGGTACGGTGGTAACCTAGAACGGCAACGGGAGACCCTGGGAAAGGAAGAACGATCTTGTGAGGCTGAAAGGGGTTTCTGGAACAAAGAAGAACAAGTTCGAAGGGCGCCGAAATGTTTTCCGGCGTATCCCCCCCGACGGTCTAGTCAGTCTTTGAGTGAGAGAGAGGAATGAGAAAACACTGAGAAAAATGTATTGTAGTAGAGAGTTTGTTGTTGCATACCCGTCTTGCCTTTTGCAAGGAGTATTTATACCTCAAAAGCTCATGATTGCTGTCAGTGTGGTCAGTAGGTGATCATTAGGTGGAGGTTGCGTGTGCATTGATCCTGTTGAGGAATGTCTTCTCTAATTAACTGCTCGGGGTCCCGAGCAATCAATTCTGGGTCATGGGGATGCCGGCGGTACAATGCGCTCCTCTCGGGGAGGATGAAATAAATGCTCTGTAACAGGAGCATTTATTGTCTTTCATTTCCGAGCCTTACCGCATTGAATGCGGTCTCATCAAGGGAATGGTGCAATTAATTGTTTGTTTTCCCAAAGCGCGTGTCAGCAACAGCATGCGGTTTGTCCGTCTTTGATGTGATATCATATGCCACGCGTCCATCCCCTATTGGTTGTGACCTCTCTATTCCAGTATGTTCTGACATTACTTGTGTAAGACGAGGTCATGATCAATAGCCTAGACTAGCCTAGATTGATGACCTGTACATCAATAGTTTATCCTGGAGTAGAGGAAGCGTCCAGGATAGGGTACCTCTCGGCACCGAGGAAAGACTCATCTCGGGGACCGAGGGAGCATGCCGACCGAGGTACATATCAGACCGAGGTCACGTGTCGGTTGTAAAATATACTGAATGTATGATCCTATACGCCAGTACCTCGGGAGCGAGGACATTCGTGCGCCGATGTGCTTGATCTTAACAAGTGTTTTAGTAAAATCAAGGACACGTGTTTTTATCATAGGGTATTTCAGAAAAGTCCCATCATATTGGGGATTGAATTACTCGGCCGTAGGAATTGATGAACTAATCCCTTTGAACTCGATAGATGAAACCCACCAGGCATGTGGGATTCATTTACTCAAATGAAACCACATATGGAATAACATGTCATTTGACAGTATTGCCCTCAACACTCGGAACTAGGGTTAAAAAAACTTTACCATTTGTTGTCCACCTCACCAGTTCCTCCCCACCACTCACTAGTATTCTCTCTCTCTTTCCCTCTGCACATTGCATTTTCTTCATTTTTGTTTATGTGCGGCCATGGATGACATACTGAACTGTTTTTTTATTTTTCCAGTCGCACTCTGTTTATCTCAGTTTTTTTAATTTTTCGACAATTGGGGTTTTTGTTACCGGCAATTATGTGTTTAAAATAAATTAAAAAAATTTCCAATTTTTTGATCTCGTGTAATTAAACAAAGCAGAAAAATAAATATTAATAAATTGATTATACTCTATATTATATACTACATTATAATTTTTCTTCTAAATAAATATTACTTAATTTATGGCATTCGTTATTTAATGACATAAATTTTTTCAAATTACTACTCATCCAAACCACTTTTACCCACCCTGGCCATACAACCTTGATATAGGATTGGATTATATTTTCATATTAAGGGTGCAATTGTCATTTCATGGTTATTTATCTAGACATGTGCATGAGACCCACGATTCACATTATCTGTATCCAAAACAGGGATCGGATCGGAATGTGTGCGCTGGATCCAAAAAAGGCCGGATTACTTTGCATTCAGTTAGATAAGATTGGGTTAAAAATCCAATCCAACCCAATTCTGTGATGGTTATCGAAACACCCCTTTAAGGGACAAGGGTGGCTAACCCGTAAGGGAGGTAAGAAGAGATTGAACCTAAAATCTCTGAGTTACCAAGGACAAACACAACCACTGGACAGTTGATTATGTCCCAATACTTACGATATCTTAAGGTTAAGTTATAATTTTTTTCATTACAACTTAAAAATGAAATTACAACTAATTGAAGTTATTCATAATCGATCATGAATAGTGTTGTAACTTGTACTTTTGCAAAATGTAGTTTGGCCTTGAACGGTGGTTTTTTCAATATCGTAATCTTTTTGGTGTGTTGTAGGGCAAGCTTGAAATACACTTATATGATATCAGGATGGAATTAGTGGGATTTGATCGAGTTTTAGCGAGTTTAAGTGGTAAACTGGTGAAACTTGTTAGATTTGTTAAATAAAATGTGTCAACACAAATTTAATTAATCTCTTTTGATGTTTAATAGTTATAAAATACAATTAATAATGCTCCATGGTCATCTTTAAATATGTAGAATTGAAATAAAAAAAAATGGCACACCAACGAAGGCAACTTAATCAAATCTTCGGCAAAATAAAGGGTCTCCAATTTATATACAAGTTGAACCAATTTGGTTTTAGTCGAGTTGGTCCAAGGATCAAAATTGGTCAAAACATTTCCGTTTCCGTTTTCATAGATCGAAACAAAACAGTAATAAAATTAAAATTTTAATATTTTAAGGTGTTTCAGAATACTTTGAAATGTTTCGACATGTTTTACACTAGAATGTTGTGAAGTGTTTCAAAATATTTCGGTATATTTTGACAAAATATTTTGAAATATTTTTGCAAATATTTCTCAATTTTTCTCGACCGTCATAAATTTCAGTGAAACCCATTGTTTATATGTCTATTCCACGCTAGTACATGTAAGTGATGTAATAGTCAGAGAAAATATACAAAGTATTCTGAAGAAAATCTGGATTTGACTATAATATTATATTATTGAGTTCATGGAATCTGGTTCCAAAGTCCTGATGAACCCCAGTAACAATGGCCCATCCAGTTTATTAGAGAAGTGGAGATTGTCCTGTATAAAGACGTAACTAGTGTATAAAGCTCCCATTATTATAGAATCTGGGGAGGGTTAGATGTACCTAATTCTACTTCTGCAACCTTACCGTTGCACAAAGCCCGCCCTCTGGAGAGTGTCCTGTATAATATATGCAATTATGCCAGCAATTACTTGGTGCAGTTTCAGACAATTAAGGTGCAATTCTGCTGCATATTGGATAGAAGTTTGAACCAAGTTAGGAACCCACCCTCCTCATTGATCATCATCTCCTCCAAAGCATCTTATAGAGATATATGTACCAGAGAAGCTAGATCAGAGGTTGGGTAGCTTACTGATCCTGCTTAGTTTCGACTTTCTTGTACCATTAACAATGGTTTTGCCCTGTACTGTTTCATAACTGACCAAAAAAGGAATTGAAACTAAAGAGGATTCAGATTCTAATATAGTACCAACTTATCATACACCATCGCCAAAAATACAAAAGCAATTGATACATCTCTTGCAATCAACCCCTAAAAACGAGAGAGAGAGAGGATATTTCATAGTACAAGAATCCAATACCTCTCCACCAGATGCACCATTTCACATTTGCTACATACTATACAAAACCCTGCAGAAGAAGCCAAAGAAAAGACAACAGCAGCACCAAATTCGTGTATGGGTTCATCAACAGGCTTGCTACTGAAGGATGTGAAGCAGAAGGACCTGGGGTCACAACAGCAGTGCCATTCTCCTTTGAGCAAGCGTAATTGCACCGACTTGGAGGAACAATTCTATACACGCCGCTGCTTGCTAGAAGAAATATATCCTTACTATTATCCTCCCCGAATGAGAAAATGTAACCCAGAGCAGGAAGTGAACTTCCAGGCACAGAGCTACATTTTATAGGAGAATCATTAGCACAACTAAAAGGAATCGGGCCGGTGGTGAAGTTTCCACTGTTTTCGGGTTTTCAGTGCCTGCCCATATGATTTGTGCATAAAGATCCGTATACAAATACCTGCAAAATCCATGAACTTGTTACTGAGATGAAAAGTAGAACTTCTTATGTGGCTTGCCAAGATATTACTCTGAAATGTCTCATAAGTTCTTATATATACAATTGAATAGTATAGATTTCAACCGTTTATGACCAAATTAAGAAAAGCTCACACACCTTCCATACATGCAAGGATCAGCTGTTGACCGATAGAAATATCCACCTGTGATTGAGGCTGAACCATCATTCTTGTTTACATCAGAATGGTTATATCCCATCACTGGGAAAATTGGCTTTATGGAATTCACAGATGTATTTCCTCCAGGTGTCTGTGGGGGAGTGAATAGGTAGGGGCCCTCATAAACACGCCATCCATAATTCCCATCCTTGGTGATGATATCCACCTCTTCATATTGATCCTATGATATAACAATTGTATATTTGTCAAAAAAATGTCTATGGAATTGAAGCTTGTACTTGGATGTCTCCAATGAAGGTGTGTTATGGAAAATTGCATCGCATTTATTTCAACTTACAAGTCAAAAAAAGAATCTTTATACTTCATCGTTTGATATATTAAATGATACTAAATTAAGCAAATACAAGAAGGATTGAAGTTCTGAGAGCAAGGAAAGTGTCTGGACTCTTCAGAATCCTTTCAGTCTGTTTGAGAAAGGGGGTTGAATAAGAGTAGTTTGGTTTTTGGTTAACAGGTAGAAGTTTGGATAAGGGACCAGCTGAGTGCAGTCCTACGTAAGTTCCAACAGATTCCCCAATAACATCTCTATCTGGAAATTGCTTGATTATAGTCGAAAATAAAGAAAGAAATTCTCTCAATGCTACTGCTGTGAAGCATATTGATGAATTGTAGTGGGAATTTATCATCAGATGACCCATGGCCATGGATAACTTCTCTGTGTGTGTGTATGAAATAAAGGGATATTCAATTTTTCTAATCCAAAAACTCAACTTAAGGCTTCACTTAAAATGATAAAGATTTCTGGACAAAGCAGGCTCCCAGCAACAAGTGGATCAACAGGACCTAGCCCGATTAGATAAGTCAATCATAAGCTTTGTTTGTATGAAACTGATAATATTAGAAGCATTTAACTGAGGGATATGGTCAAATACCTGCCCTACATCTGCACACATGAAATAAGAAGGCCTCGCAGAATCAAAACTGCACCGCCAAGGATTTCTTAATCCGATGGCCCATATTTCAGGCTGTAATTCCTTATCTTCAGAATATGGATTATCCTTGGGGATAGAATAGTTTCCCCATAAACCAAGCTGACTAACTTCTGCAGCAGCTGGTAGTACATGAAAACTCAAGTGTGAAATCAACCGTATTAAAGTGGCATATCGAATAGAGAAAATGAAGAAAAGTTTTTGAAAATTAAGGCTGCGAGTGACAGTTGATTTCAGGAACAGTTGAGATTAGATGAGGATAGAGGCAGTTCAATCTTTGTCAATACACAGGAGAATCATTCCTTATCATATTCAGTATGACACTTTCATATAAATAGGATCAGAATTATTCATCTTGTGCCTAGTGCTGATTTTGACAAATTAACATTATCAAAGTCTCAATGAGGAGGGCCACGGCATTCTTCATCATATGCTATTCCTTATTTTTGGAATGACACTTTCATTTTCACAGGCTAACAGAATAATTAATCTTATGCTGTGTGCATACTTCGATAAATTATAAGCGTTAAAATGACAATAACAAGCCATCTCATGTAGCCGCAAGGTGACACTCAGTCTTCCCGACTTTCTTTCCATCAAAAAAGAATATAATGCTGATGTGGTACGATGCTGATGATCAAACTTGACTTGTCACATTATGAGGATGCACAATGACATTCAACTTAAGAAAACCAGGTTATAGGTACAACTACAGGCTTTGCAGAAAACATGTCACGACGTATAATAGTGCAACCATGCAAAGGACGCGAATGACACAGTGGAATTTCCAGAGAACAAATAACATACAGGGTCTCATCTAATGGAGACAAAATCAAGGGTTAGTAACTTGGTTTCCAGAAAAAAGTGCCTTACCAGTTTGTGCTTCAAGTAGGGCAGCAATGACTAGTAAGAAGGCAATCAAGGAAGGTGTGACCCATTAGGTTGGAACATAAGTTCTAGTTAACATTTTCAAACGAAAAAAACTTGGTTTATGGAGTACATATCGAAAGAATTAAAATGCAGTAGGCTAGTAACTTTTCTATCAACTGAAGTTGATATTAACTGATCTTATATTTGAACCATCCTGTGTAATACTTACTTGGAAAGTTGTCAATGTCAAGCCTCATAATCTTTCCAAGCAATGATTTCTTGTTCTGAGCAAAATTGTAAGGATCGCCTACACCGCCACCATCCCCCATCATGAAGTACAAATATCCATCAGTGGGTCCAAAAAGAATCTGACCCCCATGATGAGCTGTGAATGGAAGGCCCATTGTAAATATCCGTCTCACTTCTGATGGTTGGGCACTTGTAGCCTGGTAAAAGATCAAGAATCATTATCACCTTTGAGTAAAAGGAGGTAGGAGCAAGACAAATTTGAAGTATATATGGATATGTACCAAGGAAAGCTTGGATGCGGTACCATTGACTGTAAACTCTGATATAATACTTTGATATTGGCATGGTGCGGCACCATTATCAGTGCCTAGTTTTGAAGGATCACAGTTCACATCCGAGTTACACGAACATCTTCCCGAGCATCCAGGCCACTTTGTTTTATCACAATTGAATGAAGCAAAGAAACGCCCATTTTGGGGAAAGTTTGGATGAAATGCAATACCCAACATTCCAAATTCAGTATCAAAATAAACTTCATCGGTTAGGTCGAGAAAGGGATTGGATTCATCAACCTCCAGTGTTCCTCCAGAACCCCGTTTTGGAATGGTTGCCAACCAAATTTGACCCGCCTGGTTAGAGAAGAAGGCGCGGCCAGACCCATCAGGATGAGGGGCGAGATTGAGGTAAGAATCATTCCCTATTTTCTCAAGACACATACCACTTGGAGGGCTTGGAGTTCCTGTTGTATTAAGAGTGACAGGTTCACCATCAAAGCAAACTGATCCATCAACAGAAGGTCCACCAAAAACATTACAGAAATCTGTTTTTGACTGCCAGAGATCAGTCAGTCTGGTAACATTGGAATTAACTGGAGTTCCACCTTGACCTTTCAATGATGCCGCAAAGGGTGAATTCATCATAGACACATTTTGACATGTATCCCATACTTCAACACAAAAATCACTTTTTGGCTGGTTAGTTTGTGTTGAATTTGCTGAAATGGTAGAGTTGCAGAGTAGAGGAACTTGTCTTGGAACGGACTTAACCGTAAATAGTTCTGCTGAAAACGGATCGCATTTCTGTAAACAATGAATATACAAAAATAAACAGGAGTGATTAATCTTGCACTGATTTAACATATAACACTCACAAAAAACAAAATTAATGGCTTGAATGGAGATCCTCTAATGTTCAGTATAAAGTTTCAAAGGTGGTCAGGCTTTCAGTCTTTAGCAGTAATTTGTCAAAAGGGCAAGCATTCAATTATTCAGTTATTGGAAGAACTTCCTTGGCAATCTCGAGCAACTCCAAGGGGGAGTTGCATCAAGGGTGGCAACCCCATATGCCACCCCAAATTCAAAAATTCACTCCAAGGGTTAGAAAATAGCATCAAGGCTCTTGGGGTGGCATTTTTGGCAACTCTAGAGAGACAAAGGGAGAAATTGCAAATGGGTTGATGAATATAGATCCAACGATTCATATAAATTGATAATAAAAATATGAAAATTGCATCCCATTTTGGCACTGGTCATTGGAGCAGATTTATAATTCAGGAATGTCAAACCCCTGTTCAAGGTTACAAATGAGTGATTTGGCACCCCAAAATGGCAGCTCCCTTTGGAGGTGCTCTTAAGCTTCAGATTCATAGAAATATTGAGATATTTTCCAATTAAATTAATAATGTTTATGGAATAAACAAAGGTGGTCAGGCTTTTACCCAATTAACATCTAATACAGTGTTGTTAATATCATACAATTCAAACAATTCACACTTCACAATTCACAGGTCAGAAGAACAATTTCGTGTTGAGTTCATACCGCACAGAGGATTGATTTGAGAAGAGAAGCACAACCAGCATCGGTTATGTTCATTGCTTCATATTGTTTCTGCAAACCTAAATCTTCTGCCGAGTTGCAGCACACAGTTCCATTGTAAGGGCAGAACCCCAGAGGAGTCCTGGGGGTGTAGGGTGCCCCTATATCACATCAACCAGGATGACAAAAGTAATTCAAATTCAGATATAAACAATTGCTAATAAACAAGTAAAACATCAATATAGAACTAAAACCATTGAAATAGTTCACACTGAATCACTGAAACATACTTGAATCAGTACACAAAGGGTGTGAAAAAGAAGGATTAAGTAGCTGCAGCAAATTTACAAATAGGAGGATGATGAAACCACCCCCAACCATGACACCCCCAACCGATCTGAGTGTAAACAAGAACTGCACAAAAACTGTCTTTCAAGTTTCAACTACTCCATGAAAATCTTATAAAGGGTATGCACAATCCCACTTTTAAACACCATTGGATTGACCAAAGAGACAAAATAAGATTATCCACAGACAAGAAGCTTTCCGGGTTTGAAACATCTTGTCCATTGCAACTCTCTCTCTCTCCCTCCCTCAATTATCTGCCTATCTTTCAATCAATCCTTTATTAAACTCAGCTTCCAGAAGGAAAAAAGCTGTCTTTTCCCAATAAACTTCCTTTTTTTCTCTCTCTCACAAGAGCATTTGACATTTTTCTGTTAAATGAGATAGAGAGATCAAGTGGGCAATCTACATAGTTGACTTATGTGATGTATTCCTAATATAAATATATGGGTAGTTGAGAAGACAATCGGTAGTTTCTCCACTTAAACCCAGGCTGGATAGATCTTGGCTGGTTCAACGTGCCTTGCCACATTGAATGCGCCTCATGGGTTCTGAGAGCATTCAAATCTTACAACTATAAACAATTCAGTGATAAAGAAGGCCATAATTAGTACACGAGGCACCCATTATTACGAGGTTTAGGAAGACTTAGATGAATATAATCTAATATTTGGTTACAAGTAGAAAGACTGTTTCCAATGATATGAATACTATAATAGTTACAATTATCAAATACGAATGCAATCCAATTGGACTTATAAATTTGTGTCGATTTAACATCTGATTTATAAATGTGGCTAAAATAACAAAGGGAAGGAAAAGCTGACATGGAAAGGGGGAAGATTCATTATCAGATATGATGTTTGGAATGTTTTGTGACTGTTGGAAACTGGGTGAAGTGAAACCACTGGACATTCTTTAGTCTCTATTTACTTGATTTGTGTTTGTAAATGGTAGGTTCCCTGATTATACAAAAGAAGAAAAAACGATTAAGAAATCATTATATACTTTCAACAAATATTAATCTCTTGATCTTATGTTTAGGCCCAATTGATTCAAATCAGTTGCAACTTTAGATACCTCAACCAAACTCATAGAAGTCTTGCATAACGCAGTGTTTATTGAATCTGGATAAGATAATTAAAACATAATTAGAGTCACTAAACCGAATTTTAATCCAAATCAATCGTACAACTACAAGTAATTTTATTTGAATTTAAAATATTAACTTAATCAATCATAATAATTAAATAGATAATAAATTTTAATAAATACTAAAACTCATAATTCAATTAATGACAATAATTTAATTAAATCGACATTTTAAGTTCATATGTCATTGCTGATTGCTATATTGAGTTGAGTTTCAAACAAGCCTCGAGCAAAGAGATTCAAGTCAAAGAGACCCCATCTGAATGGTATTGTTAAATGGACTCCCAATTTTAAGATATACTCTTGGAATGAGATCAACGTTGACGGCGTGGTCAGCCCGCCATTTCTGACTATCCATGAACAGAACCTGGGTTATCATAAAACCTTACCTTTTTTTTTTTTTTTTTATCTAAATTTAAATTTAGGTAAAAATATCTAAAATATTTTTTTAATACTAAATTCATACCCACGTCAAATGAAAGAAAGTCCTTCTTTAAGTTCATATTACACTCTTTCAAAAATTCAATGATCATATTTTATATTTTTTTAAATTTAAATTTCTCTTCTTTTAAATTTAATTTTTTCATTTGAGAAATCTATACTAAATCAAATTTTTTTTTTACTCAAATTTAGTTAAGAGTTGAAGTTTCCATTAGAAATTGTCTAACACTTTAGAACAACTAATTGTTTAGGCTTTATGGTACTTTGTTCCCAATTGTTTTTGATATTTTCATCTTAAGCCCTAAAAATTAAAAATTTTAGATAACAATTGGACTTCAAATGATAACAATGTGCCCCAATTACTCACCGGTACTTAAGTATGTGGACAAATCGGGTTTGAGTCAGATTCTGAAGGATCCAAATTTAAATCCGATTTCAAAAATCCAATCCAAATTTGATCTAATGGTTTTTTTTTTTTGTGGTCCATATAAAAATCCGTTAACAATCCCAAAATCTAATCTAATTCAAATAACTTAATTAATTAAATTTTTGTAAATTATACATAAATTTCAACTAAATTTCTTTAAATAATAACTTATTTTTTTAATATTTTTTAAAATATATATAAATAATTCATATAGGATTATAATAAGATCAAATATAGATATATCCAAATTTCAATTCATGAAATATAAAATATCAAATTCGAATTTAAGTTCAAATTATCGATAAAAAAAATATTAATCCATATCCAACTATACGAATTCAAATTTGGATCAAATTCGGATCATAATCCAATTTATTTAGACGCCTACCGATGCTGAATGTTTTGTCAGCTGACATCCCATGTACACACTAATGTGATATAAGAAAACTAGGTTTTTAAGGGATAAAATAAAGTAGAGAGCATTTCTATCATCTTGAGAAAAGCTAGCTCGATGTCTTGTATGCTTTCAAAGACAAGCTGTGACCACTTCATTTTCATGAGACATCCACATTCAGGAATAAGGAGAAACAGTCAAATAAAAAAACAGTCCTTCCTTTCGAACAAAATGAGAAACATAAACATATCGAATTCTGTAAAATTCACAAGGTACAATTTCCTACTTCATCGAGGTTTAATTTTAAGGTTACGCACTAGAGAGAGAAATCCCGCCTTAGGCGATTTCGAGAAATGAGTCTACAGACGAAGAAATTGTGTAGTGAAGCTCCATAAGATTGGTTCCAAGACATTATAGCAGGGAAAATCAAAATATGGACCAGCCCAAAAAAGTCCCCGAACCAGCACAACTAGGCCGTATGTGTTTTTTCCTCTCATCTCATGCATCTTATATTGATCCAATTGCACCTCCTAACCGGATAAATCAGCTTAACCATCAAGAGCACCAAGCGCTTTCATGTCCTCCAAGAAGGCCATATACGAGTCATCGATACTTTGTGGTTTCAATGCTGATGAGGAGTTACCTGTTTCTTGTTTCCCAACAGGAGCTGCTGGAGACAGGGTAGCTGGTGCCACGGTGGAGAGTGATGGCTTCAGTTTTGCTTTGGGCAGGGCAGACTCTCTCCTCACGCGTACAGATGCAGGAACCTGTGCTCAAAGAAAGAAAAAGGTTTAGGTTGGGACAACAAAACTTCCAATGAGAATATTAATACAGAGAGGAGCATTACCTAAATTGCGCGAGCCAGGCTACCAATTTTAATTAGTTTTTTTGAAATGCATTAACAGACTTCCTCAAGTCTAAGAGTATAGTAGTTCACAACGCCATTGGAACTTGAGTTATGACGTTCACATGCAACTCCAACAAATACGAGAATCCCCCCTCTCCCCCCAACCAAAAAAAAAAAGAAAACACACAAAAAAGCCACCTAAGCAGCAAAGTGGAACTTGCATTGCCACTGAAGGACTTACCTAGCAATCAACATGATTCATTTTGGATCAAATTTACAAATGAGTTATGGGAATGGTACACAGAAACTAATAAACTCCATGACACCCAATGACAGCACACTCGGAGGAAAAATAAAATAAAAATAATGAAAAAAAAAGAACAGGAGGAAAGACAAAGAATAAAAAGAGACCGAGAATTAAGGGAAAGAACATTCTAATCAACTAAATTATTATCAGTCAATGGATCATATTTACAATAGGCCTAGTATTTCTAGGCTCAATACAATGTAAATAGTTGACATATTATAACTGGCAAAGCATTTCTAGGCTCAAAAAAATTCTGTATTTCAACGCTCAGTCCTTCTTCCTCTTCTCGTTATCTGTAGTTCTTTTCCAGAGTGCAGCATCATCTGACCCCGAAAACTGCCAACTTTATTTATCACAACAGTTGAACGTTGCCAAAAATTATTTATCACAACAGTTGAACATTGTCAAAAATTGAACATGTTTCTATACTTCCTCTCTGAAATGTGTTCCCATATCATTTCTACATTTTAAACTGCAAGTAGTTCGTTAACACAATAAACACTAAAAGGATGACAATCCCCACACTAGCAAAGTATTAAATAGAAAGTAGAACAGATGTTCCAAAACTTTTGGATCTTTAATAGAATCGGCAACATTATATTTAAAAATCCTGCAGTTACATTTGCTTCTTCCTTTGATGAACTCAACTTGCCATTTGCTTATACCCTATTAAAGTCTTATTTTCCATCTCCCTCAAAGTATAGTTTTATCCTAGCACATTGAATCACTAGCATCATGTCCTAGTCATCCCTTGCCAGCAATAGATCATACCTCTATGATGCAAGATTTCTGTCAAACAGCCAAAATTGTACAAGCATCTTGTATATAAAGTTATATTCCTCAAAGACTCTATAGGAAAATGTAAACTATCAAATAGGCAAAACCAAATGGGTAAGATCATATGGCAACATGCCAACAAAATACAACATATAATCAGGAATTCCTAAACGCAGTTAATGATGATGCAAAAAAGTATAATCAGCAGAGACAAGAGATTTACCATAGCAGTAAGTTCGGGAGTGTGCTGAGCTAGAGGCCTCTTAACAACGGTAGCAGCAGCTGATTTGACATATGATGGCTTCTGAGGGACAGGTAGTCCAGTAACATAACCATCTTGTGGTATTGGAGGAGGACCAGGGGAAGTGGTGGTCTCATCATAGGCAAATGTCCAGGAGGAGGTCCAAAAGGGGGCCCAGGTATCAGTGGGACCATCATTCCTGGGGGAGCAGATTGGCCAGGAATCCCTGAAGCAGATAATGGTCGCTGCATATCTGGCCGAGGTGGGGGTAGTGGAAACCGTGAAATTCCTGGAGGTAATACATCGGGATGCAAAGTTGGGACCAGAGCAGGTCCCGCCACTGGAGGCTGTTGCCTTGGAGGCGGGGGCGGTGGTACCATTTGAGATATATCCTTCATCTCCGAAGGATTCTTGGCAACTGATTCGGCTGATGCACCTTCGGATTGATTATCGGTCAGCTTCAGTGGCAACCCTGGTGGTGGAGGGAGCATAGTTGTTGCCTGCACACAAGAAAGGGAGAAATATGCCATCAGTAATTTTAAAAATTAACTCAAGTAGACCATTTCAGTATTTGTGGATTTAGAGTCTGTATGAAACAAGTAACGACTTTGTCCTCAAATAGTCTTTTCTTTGGGAATTGAAAACCAAGTCCACAGTCTATCATCCCTTCATGTCCTGGAGAATGGTTCAAGAATTTGAGTGAAAGGTTTACCAGAAGTGACTCCTTGGAGATTGGATCATCAGTTATTGCAGATTTACTTTTCTCCCTTTCATTTCCAGCAGTGCCAGGAGGAGGTGGCTGAGCAGACTGATGGAGGGGTGGAGGTGGAGGAAAGGGAGGGCGAATTGCAACATGTTCTTTAGGTGGGGGACCAGGTGGGGGTGGTGGCAATGGAGGTGGAGGCAATGATGTAGCCAAGTCTGCAACAGCAGGTTTTGGTGGCATTGGAGGTGGAGGTGGAGGTGGTAACGGCAATGATGCGGGAATAACAGAGCCATCTCCAGAGCCCATATCAGCAGTATCAGGCAATGGAGGAGGTGGTGGAGGAGGAGGAACGGATAAGGCAGCATCCTCTGACTCTGACATCGATGATGATGCCACACCACTGGATGAGGCTGCTGATAAGGGTATTCTGGGTCCTGCAATTGGAAAAGGATAACAGTTTCAGATGCACATGACATGCACCAAGACACAGAAACACACAAGCCCACAGAGAACTAAAAACAAACCTATTGATGATTTGAACATGGGAGGCTTTCCAGGTGGAGGAGCTCCAGTAGGATTCAGTGTAGGGTGATAATAAACTGAGTCCTGCATCAATAAATCACTAAATGTGGGTTCATGTGTAAGTACAAGGGTTTCATCTAATAACAAACAAGAACCAGATAAGAATTTACTTCAGGTTTTGGGTGCTTGACTCTTTCTTCCTCTTCTGCTGTTGTCCGCCTCCGAGGAGGCCCCAAATGACTGCAGAAAAAGTAAAGCCAAATGGAAAAGAGATGGAAACATTTTACCAATAATTCATCTTTTGCACAAAATGTCAAAATAGATCATAGACAAGAGAGGCTTCTTCACCTAAACATAACCGGCGCTTCACCCTTTTCCCGCATTTTCTCTTCATATTCCTGTCCAGAAGAATAAGATAAGACTGTGACCACGATTCCTCAGATATAATAGTAAAACACTAATATAAGCAATTACCAAAAAAAAAAGGTCACTATCAATGGCCATCAGCAGAATGAAATATCAAAAAAGAATGACTTGAATTTCGCATCAAGGAAAATCAAATGAAATAATAAACACCATAAACACTTCAGCTTTTCCCCAAAGAAAAATGCAACTTAACTTCTCAAATGCTCTAGCCTAGTTCTTATTTGAGAATTTTCTTACCAATGAAGTGCCCATTGGGCGGATCTGCCTCAAAGTTTGAAGAGAATAGAACCTATGACCACAATATTTGGAAATCTCCGACACAAGGTTTTTGTAATTGCGGGGAAAAAGGTCAGCAGTAGATGCCAATGGGGAGCCTAATTAAAAACAGTCCATCTAAATAGTGTCAAGGAAGGAATTTGCTCAAATATTGTTCTGAAAAATCCAGGAACACCAAAGACTCTCTTGGTTAAATTGTGTCAAACACCAAAACCAATTGTTAAACTATTTCCTGAAGTGTCTCTTATGTGTGGAGCCTGATCAGTTCAGCGTCCAGAAGTTGCATCTAGGGGTTCCGGGATGGATCCCCGAGGTGGTCCATGTAACTACTAGGATTTTTTTGGATATTTTAATGCGGTGTTTTATTAACCCCACTTATTATGTGCCATACATATATTCTTTGCAAGTTGGAAGAACTTATTGTAACTTGTATCTCCCTATTTCTGTTATGCATAGTTGTTAGTATCATACAATACGTTACGATACAGGCCTAAAACGATACGGATCATAGTTATGCATCGTTTTTGTGTTGTATCGTCCGATACACGATACGTTTTTATGATACAATACGCATCATACGTGCAAAAGTTATTTTTATTTTTTTGATGGAACGACGTCGTTTTGTGGCAAGAGGCTGATTTTTTTATCCGTATAACCACTGAAACGACGTCGTTTCAGTGGCTAGGGTTACCAAAAAAATAAAATCCCTCTTTTTCCCTTCTTCGTTGTTCGCTAGTCTTCAACTCTGGATCTTTTTCAGCTTTTGACGACATTCGCTGGGTGCTCGCTGGTCTTCGACTCTGGTGCAACTAAGCCTGCGAAAGTTGTTTGGTGCAGCCCATAAGCATTTAGTTGAGTTTCTTGCAGAAAATAGCTCCCAAGTGCACCGGCAGGCACTGTTTGGACAGTGTTCTGCTTTATTTAAATTTGTTTATTTTTTTCAGGCTGTTATTCCACCTGCTTTGATCATTGCTAGTTGTTGCATTTTGGGCTATTTGTGATAATTAATTTTTTTTTTCTTGCACTCATTGGGGAGTTGTTAATAAATGTTAGAAATTTTGATTAGAAGTCTCTTTATCTTTGGTGTTTGAAGTTTGAATTAGTGAACTATGGCTTTGAACTTTGCATTATAATATTAGCAAATTATGTTGATGACTTGAATAGTTGGTAAAGTATTAATGAAATGATATGTTTTTTATGAGTGTATATTTTTTTTCAAAGGTATATATATTTTATTATTATTTATTTAAATTTGCACCGTATCTTACGATACACAATACGCTACACTATTTTTAAAAAACGATACGCCTTTCAATACACGATGTGATAACTATGCCGTTATGGTATAGTGAATTGGGTGCGAGCCATGCACGTAATTTTTGTTTTGATTTATTTCTATTTTTTGTGTAATCATAGAGCAAGATCATGTACATAATGCCTAGTTAAGATAGGCCTCATCCTGACTCTTACTTAGAAGGATGATTTATTGGGAGATTTACACAAAATATCACGGAACATCTGATTCAGTTGTGTTTACTGATTTTTCATTTTGGATTAACTATGCATCTGAAGATCAAATTTGTGGAAAGAGATTAGAGGGTTCGGTGTGTGCCATCATGTGTTAATACCTTCTAGGACAATTGACCTTGTATCGTCATTCGGTAAATCCAATGTGGTGCAACATACATTCCACACATTCAAGAATCTTTTGACTATCTATAAAAGCACCACTCAAAGATTCTATAAAATAGTTAGGAGGAACTATGACAATATGCGGCCAACGGCACCCTCCGGCCCACCCAAAGTTCAATCCTTTTCTCTATGGGAAAGAATGATCTCTGCTTGAACACTAGAGAGGAAAGTACAGCCTATAAAATCATAAGCCTGTGATACTCCCAGAGAACGAAAGGAAACTCAGGTTTCTGACATCATTCCTATTACTACTTTTTCTGCATATTACCCGCAAAATCCTTGATATATTTACCCAAAAAAGTTATTGATCCCTAGCAAAAGAATAAAAAGGGTACAGAAAGTGTTGTCTTGTACTGGCAAATACCTTTCTTTTCTTAAGAACCATATTCAATGTGTCCTCAAGTTGTCTCTTCTTGTGTTTTCTGGCTTTGTCAAGAGCACCGTCTGCCTCTGCAACATCATAAAAAAATATTAAAATAGCTATGCAACCAAGCAACAGATGATTAAAAAACTGCAATCAACTCTCTTGAGAGAAATCTATTGGAGAGCTACATAACAGAATGATTCTCAAGTTAATTGAAGTTCACAATAGAAATACCAATGTGCATTAAATTCAACTATTATTTTCTGCTTTTTGATAATCGTTTATCTCAGACTATATGTGTGGAGTTCTTTTAGTTTGTTAAAATCACTATAAATAAAAAGAACCCTCAATGCAAAACAGTTTCACAGCCATACAGTAAAGGCTTTATAATATATACTTTTTTTTTTGGGGGGGAAGGGAACTTGAAACCATGACCTCAGGAAGACAAAGTCTTCGCAACGTAAGGAGTATTACTGGACCAAAGGCCCATTGGTATAGTAAAAGCTTTATAAGATCGAAACATGACTTGTTTTTTCAATAGGTGTCTTTACATAAATCATGACTTACTCATTGCTTCCAATTTGTCAATCTGCTCTCTCAGTGTCTCCGGATCCTTCTTCAAAATTCCCACCTCCCTCACTTTCTTTCTTTCTTTCTTGTTCTGTGAAAAAACAACTAACAAAATATCAGCTGTGATAGAATACAAATCCAAAACATATAAAAATACATCAATAGGAAATGCTATATTTCACTAAAACCAAGTATTATATATTGCAAATGAACACAGTTTACACTAGTGCAGCTGCTGATAAAGTTTTTTTTTTCTTTTCTTAAGTTATTGATAAAGTCAAATTGCCTGAATTTCAACTACCCAAACTCAAAGAAAAGACAGAACATAATTTTTTTTTTGTTACTCCGTGCAATTACTAATAGCCTTTTAAGGCACAGTGATAAAATATGTTAATTGTGTATACGTGTTCAATTTTTTTGAGTTATGTTTTTAGAGGTAATTTTGTTCATTTTTTTAATATATTCATTAGCAGTAAATACTTATTGTTATCATTATGTGCACCGCTTTTTACACTTCCTAATGCTCATTTATTTTAGTTGCTCATTTTTTTCCATTGCAAAGGCACCGACAATAACTAGTACATACAGATGGCAGCAAATTCAGCTAATCACCGCAGAATTAGGTCACAAATTTTCAGTTAAAAACAGTCTGAAAAGATAACTTCTAAAATCTTGTGGTGTTCAAATTTGATTATATTCAAGAACCCAAAATGCCCAAGCCCAGATAACCATATTATGCTTAATTCAGCAAAGCTGCCCACTTTGTCATCCAAAATTTGAAGCTTCGAAATCCAATTTATTTTTCTGAAACAAATAATAGTCATATCCCAAATTTTATGTTCCGGAGAA